ATTCTGGGTTATGTTTGATAGTCAATTTATGCTGTAAATTAGGGCTCCTAGATTTGACCCTATTTTATCTTTGATGAACTTTATAGTTTTGGGTTTTACATTTAAGTCTTTGATCCAACTTGAGTTTGTTTTTGTGTATGGGGTGAGGTTTTTCTACAAGAGGATATCCAGTTTTGCCAGCACCATTTGTTAAAGAGGCTGTCTCTTCCCCATTTAATGGGTTTTGGACCTTTGTCAAAGATCAGCTATCCATAGATGGATGGGTCTATTTCTGGACTTTTGATTCTGTTCCATTGGTCTATCTGTCTATCATTGTACCAATACCACGTTGCTTTGACTATTGTGGCCGTATAATAGATTTTAAGGTCCAGGAGTGTGAGACCTCCCACTTTGTTCTTCTTCTTCAGAAGTGCTCTGCTTATCTGAGGTCTCTTTCCTTTCCATATGAAGTTAGTAATTGGTTTTTCCATGTCCTTAAAAAATTTTTTTGGTATCTGGATCAGGATTTCATTGAATGTGTAAATTGCTTTAGGTAGTATTGACATTTTCACAATATTCAGTCTACCTATCCGTGAACAAGGTAGGTTCTTCCATTTATATAGAAGATCTGCTCTTTTTTATGATTTTCAGTTTTGTTCCACATTTTTTCCCCACTCTATCTGGGAAAAATCTACTTACTTTAATGCAAAATGTTTTACAATATATTTGACTATAAGATGAAAGTTTTTGACAACATTAATGTTAGGTAATCATTTTCTTACTGTTTATCTTCTTGTTTAATTGCCAAAACAGAATTGTTCTTGTAATCAGGTTTTTGTAAGGAACATGTGGGCTTTTGAATTTCAGAATTAAATGTATTAATAAAACCTAAATTATTACAAAGATGAACATTTCACCAAAGCAATAGTATATGATTGATCTCAACCTTGTGAGGACCTTGTAATGTGGCTGAGGTTCATTATTTTCTCTTTTCTCCTGATTGCTATTGACTATTCCACTTTTTTAAGGAGCTCTAGTGGTTCTATAGTTAAGGCATTGGCCTGCTAACCAAGAGGTTGGTAGTTGGAGCCCAGCAGCTGCTCTGCAGGTGAACGACAGAGGGAGTCTGCCTCTGTAAATATTTACAGCCTTGGAAACCTAGTGGGGGTTGCTGTGAGTCAGAATCCACTAGATGGCAGTTTTTTTTTTTTCTTTTCAACCAAACTTAAGTGCTGTCAAGTAGGATTTGACTCATAGTGACCCCTCTTTTTGTTTCAGAGGTGTTATCACTACGGAAGTAGATTGCCCAATCTTCCTCCTGAGGAGTGGCTGATGGGTTTGAATCACCAGCCTTCTGGTTAGCAGTCAAATTAAAAAAAAACTATGCTACCAGAGCTCCCACCAGAAATATAGTAGGTACTATATATATATATAGTAGGTACCAGAAATATAGTAGGTACTAAAAAGTGTCAATT